CCAGTGGTGTTTATTTTTACCATTGGTGTGAAAGTTTCCTAATAATTAACACCATAAGTCTGTGTGAATCCTCTTGCCACCAACCAGGACTTCAACTTATCAAGATTCCTATTAGCTTTATACTTTAGGGTAAAAACCCATTTATAGCATACTAGTTTCTTATTTCTCAGCTTCTCCACAATCTCCCAAGTCTCATTCTCTTCTAGTGCTTTCATTTCCTCCAGAATAGCCTCCCTCCATCTTTTAGTTTTGAGAGCCTCATAGATGTTATTAGGAATTCTAACATCATCTACATCAGCAATAAAAGCTCGATAACTAGGAAATAAAGCTTCATATGACAGATATTTCTAAATGGGATGTTGTGTACAAGTTCCAGGTTTCTTCCTGAGGGCAATAGGCAATTCCAAGCCATCTTCTGGTTCTTCTTAAGCCTTCCCTATATTAGGGCTTTCATTAATCCTCTCATATTCTTCTCTAGGACTTTCTCCCATAGAATCTTCCATTGGTTTTGATTCTAGTATTGCCTCAAGTGTGAGAACTTTTCATACCATGCTTCATCTTCCATGTGTAGACTTTGGTCTCTTTTCCTTTGGTACCTGTGTCCTTGTCTTCCCTTAAACTTGCATTTTCTTTTATTGCTAGCATAAGAGACAAACACAGGCTCGATGGAAGTAGGGTGGTCAAGAAAGTCAATTAGAGAATATACGTGGTCAAGGGTCGACTGAAGAAATGTGAAAGAGCATCAAATTTGTGGTGTCATAGCATTGACCAACCATGAAGCCATCAAGGAGTTTTCGATCTCCCACTTCGCCACAACCTTCGAGTCTGATGCATCTAGAGCCTTGGAGTGGCCAGTGATACAACCCAACTTGCCTCATCCTTCGATAGCAAGTCTAATCGCATGTACTCATTCACGATAATTGTTGCCATTGCATTTTTCTAATATAAGAATAAAGACCTTTCGATAGAACTTAACCCTTGGGGCGCTCCGCCATAATTAATTAATGAAGTTGAAAGTTGTGGTACATGTGAGGTCGACTTTGTACTTGGGTGTGAAAGACCATTGTTGATGTGCAACTTTAGAGTGAAGGATTGGTTGCTGTCGTGCTACTTTGTTTGTGTGTGTGGGACGCGTGATTGATTCTGAAGTAGTGGAGGAATCGCCGACCAAAGATGAAGAGAGGTTGTGCGACTGCGATTTTGTATTTTAGGCGTTGATAGCATTCTCTAGGCCAAATTTGACCTGCTCTAATGCCATATGGCATTTTAGATAAGAAGTTCCATAATAATATTGTATTCCCGAAGGCAATGAGCCTATGTACAAGTTATGGAGATAACTATATAGAAAATAAAATCAAATAAAATAAAGAATTGACTCCCATAATCCTATCTAATCATATCCCAATATCTAAAGAATAAATCTCTCTAATTTAAATATATTAAATACATAAAATATCAGTTTGACTACTCTCACAAAAATGTCAAGTAATCATGTTCATCTTCTTTCCCCCCATTTTTTTTAATCTCTTTTAAAACTAAATGCTTAACAGTTTCAAAGTGAACATGCACAAAAGAACAATGAAATTGATAACTCATGTATGGAAGTTTTATGAATTCATCTGCTCTAAGTCACATGAAGCCATGAAATAGCAAGCAACAAGTTTTAAAGATCATCCATATATCAACTGGGAGTGGCGCTGAAGAAGAATAGAGCCATGAAAACGGCAAAAATCAGCAAGCTTGCCTTTCATAAAGCTATGTTGTTAACCAGAACCTTCATTAATGAAACCTTCCTTGCGACCCTCAAAACCAGGCCGCATAAGCTTTTTCTCCCTCTTGCAATTCTACGCATTTTCTTCTGATGAATCCTTTCAGCTATATTTTCGGATCTTCTTTGTTGTTTTCTCTCTGCTTTCATTTTCTCCCTGGTATCAATTCTCTCCTTCCATTTATCTGAATTTTTACGTTGTCTCTTCTTCTCTTTCTTTATGCTTTTCTCTAACAGTTTGGGATCATCGTGAACCTTAATTCCCAAGGCCCTATCCATCGCTGCTTTCCATGATTGTTTTTTTGCAATAACCTCACCCTTCTCAGGATCTCTCTTTGCTTCTTCAAGTTTTTTGACCTTTTCAAGTTCCTTGTGTATTGACATTTTTCTCTTTTTTTTCTTCCCTTGCCTTTCCTCATTATCGAGTTTGACATAACCAAACATGAGGTCTTTTGAAGCCTCTGCAGCATCCTTCTTCCCTTTTTCTGTTGACTCATGGGGTTCAGGTTTACTAGCTTCATACCCATCGTCTCTCTTACGTTTCTTATTCTGAATTCCTCCTTCACATTTCTCTCAACCCTGTTCTTTTCTCTATTAGAATTTCCACAGTTACGACTTGCCCGAAACTCCTCAATTTTGTGATGAAGTCTTTGTCGAAGTTCTTCATATGTCACTGATCGATCATCACCTTCAAGACCTGATGTTAAAGGATTCATATCCATTTGCTCGTCATCGCTCTGGTTCAATTTTTCTTTGTCCAAGCTTTGCTTAAGCAGGTCAAGTGTTGTTGCACTGGGCTTCTCTGGGTCTAAACGTTCTCTTCGAGATTTCTTAATATTTTCCCTGGTCTCTTTCTTTGCTGCAGCTTTTTCAGCCTTGCTCAGACCCTGAAACCACGGTTTCTCATCATCAATTGGTAGATAGAATTTGGCTGGTATAAGCTCAATTAGCTTGTCAAAGAAGAGTCTATGCTTCTGAATGATAGACTCCAAATCTTGAGCCGCATTGGTCACCTCCAGAGACTTCTGCGTTTTTTTCCTCATCTGCATTAAAATACAAGGATGATTGATTGTAAATGTAAAAAGAAGAATGAGTATAAATTAGAATGTCGTTCAATTTGTTCAGGTCAACATTACTGTCATATTGTGCTGAAGACAATATACAAGCATCTTGAGCGGGAGTCTAAAGGGTGCAAGTAAGCTAGACATGATGGGTAGAACTCAATGAAGTACCACTTCCTTTAGATGACTTTAAGTGTCTTTTCTAGGACCCACAAAACTTGAAAACCAGAATTCTTTGAGGCTTGAATAGATTTCTTATCCCGCCAGTGGCTTCCAATGCCTAGAGACAATTAAAAACAAAATAAAAAGTCTTTATAAGTTCTTCATCGCTTTTTAATTCTAGTCTGGAGCATTCGTTGAGGCTAATTTATTTTTATAATCAACCAAGCCATTCACGAAAAAAGGGGGAAAACTAAATATCAAAACGTAATTACAAAACACGAAAGAACACGAAATGGGAAAAAGGATGACCTAAAATCATGTCCCATAACATCAGAAACTCAAGAAGGAGAGAGGGTTGACGAGGAGGAAGGAAAGAGAGAGAACCTCACCGGCGAGAGAAAACGGACTTCGCCGTCGACAGTAAGCTTCTTCCGCCGCCGCTAACGGAGAAGCGAAAGCGCGAATGTTAAAGAGTAGGAAAGGGCTGATTCATGGCTGAAGGCAAAAGATTGGGTTGGGCCAATAATAAATGCAGAGAACAGGTCGAGCCACTTAATTGGTCTGCACGGACCTAGAGGCTAGAGCTAGACGTCGGCCAAATTTCTCCCATTTTTTTATTCGTTTATATTTATTGCGTTATACGTTTATTTGAAAATTTAAGGGGGGAAAAACACACAACTCTCCCTATCTTATGCCGTTTTCAAGTTGGAACCTCAAAGCGTTAAATTAAGGTTAGTCTAAGGTAATTGACACTAATACTCTTGCAAATGAAACCTATTTTTCCTTACCATTTACATTATTATATATTTTTCATTATAATATACAAATATTTCAATGGATAATTGTGTTTTTTTATATAAAAATAGATATTTTTTGAATTTTTTAAAAGAAGAGAATTATATTAAAAAAATTATAAAAAATAATAAAAATCATAAGAAGTCATTTTACAAGTTATACTTTTTTAATTAGATTAGATTTTTAAGGAGCTCGAAAGATAAAATAACCTTATTCATAACTTTACTTACAAATTGAATAACTTATCAATATACGTAATACAAAATTTATAACGATTTATATTATTTATAAGACAATATGAGATATCTAAGATATTTTAAATAATTCGCGCCAGAGAGGTTAATTTTTAGTGAATACTCAAACAATGATGCCAATTTTCATGCTAAAGTAAGCCTTGATTTCATCCTTTTTACAAAGGATTTAATTTAATAACCAATAAAATATGTTGATTGGTAAGGTTAAAACGATCAAAGCTATTTTACATGCAAAATACATCTACTTAACCAAAAAAAAAGAGAGAGATAATATTGCTGAAATTTTTAAGGGAGAACTAAATACAAATTCTCATAACATAATTAAATATACAAGTTTTATTTGAACATAGCAAGACTAAAATATATTTAATTATAGATATAAATTAATTGCAATGAAAAAGAATTCGTATGGACACAGCCCAAGTTTGGGATGATAAATGTCATGTGGCATGTTTGAGTGTACACGTAGAATCAACTTTTGGTCTGAAATCATAATTTTAAAAAATTTTATTTAAATACCATTAATTTTCTCGAACTTTATTGATCTTATGAAATTCCATTTAGCATAAGCTATTTTTTTTTCTTTATTTGAGAATCAATTTTAAATATTAGAGTATTTTTTAATTATTTATAATTGATCCTGAAAAATTATCAAACATATTCTATTATTAAAATCAATTTTTAAAAAATATTATTCAAATATTATCATTGGCTTTGTTAATTTTTTCTTTAATCAATTTTTGCCCATAAACACACCCTTCATTCTGGTTTATTCATCAGATGACACCGAAATTCGAGTTGGGATTGGGACCAAGAGAAAGAAAGAAATCAAGAATGTTAGTTGAAGGGCAAAAAAAGTTTGAACGGTGGCTAAAACCAACGTTCTTTCCAACCTTGCTGTTGATCATTTTTTGTCAAACTGTATTAATAAAACGTTTGAAAAGTGTGTAGCAACTCGAATAAGAAAATGCAGATATGTTGCAATCGTCGAATCTCCTGAGACTGGTAGCAAACAAACAGTCAGCTAGTACCAACCTATTTTGATATGGAACTGACAGTGTCTCTTTTTATTCACGAGCTTCTGTGTCACTGCCACTACTTTCCTAACTTGTTGAAAAGGGGCTTGAAGCTCCTGACATTTCCTGCTTCTTGTGGTCACTTGGGTATTATCACTTTCCCTCAACGTAAGTACTTGATGACTTGAATTTACACTTCATTGCCATGTGGGTCTGCACTTTCTCTTTCGTCCAATGCTTAATCTGTCCTGACTGTCAGGTCACAGACATAGCCAACCCACACGAAATGAATGATTGTAGGGCATGCCACTTGGTTTTCCATTTGTAACGTTATAGATGTCAGGGCCCAACAAGGGCAGCATGTAAGAGATTCTTAGACAGACCGGGCTTATATATTATAAGTAGATCAACATAAACATATTAGTTCATTTTTCAAAGCGACTTTATTTAAGAAAGAATATGTATGGGTGACATAGGAAATTTTAACAAATTCAACTATACTGTGATTTTGAAGCAACTCAGTAGATCACATTACATAATATATGTACGACTGAAAAAGGCATTCTTACTGTAATAACTTAGTACTGATACCTATCTGCAATTTAATCTTGATAAGTGTTTACTTGTCCCTTATCATGGATTTATCTGCAGCTGTAACATGTCTGAGGAACTGGATAAACCGTTGCTTGATCCTGAAAATTTCAATCGAGAGGGTATTGATTTGGTACGTTCTCCCTTAAATGGTGGGATTACTTACCAAAAACATGCATGTCATTGCAATTCCAAATTGATGTTTTTTAATACACATTTCAAATGTAATTTGTACTGAAGAGCAGCCGTTCCTATTGAATTTTTGTCAGGAGCGTATGCCATTAGAAGAAGTGTTTGAACTGTTAAGAACATCGCCAAGAGGTCTTTCAACTGAGGATGCTGAAGCTAGGCTGCTTATATTTGGCCCCAACAAACTTGAAGAGAAGAAAGTAAAAACACTTTCTGAATATATTTAATGGTCATAGATTCATTGTATAGGAATAGGATTTGAAGCTAGAAGAAATTGATTATATAAGAAGTTAAAACACCTTGTTCATAGATGACAATGTTGAACTCCGTGTTAATTAAATAGTGGTTTAAAGTGCTTCATCTGTTCTATATTTGAATGTTTATGCAGGAGAATAAAATACTGAAATTTCTGAGTTTTATGTGGAATCCTCTGTCATGGGTCATGGAAGCAGCAGCAATTATGGCAATTGTTCTTGCCAATGGGGGAGTGAGTAGAGAACAAAATTTATGTTCTGCAGGGATAATTTCTCTCTTGCATTTCCGTTCACAATTGTCACCAGTCACCATGTTAGCCCTCACTTCTCTCATTGGGTGTTGCATTTTTAGGGGGAAGGTCCTGATTGGCAAGACTTTGTGGGAATTTTATGCTTGCTATTAATAAACTCAACAATCAGTTTCATAGAAGAAAATAATGCCGGGAATGCCGCAGCAGCACTGATGGCTCATTTAGCTCCCAAAACAAGGGTACGTCTCTTTGTTAATGATCTCTATCTCCTTAGAAATTTTTTACACGTCATGCTTATCAGCCGAATCTATGAACAAATTCCTAGTCTTTTTGGATGTTACTTTTTCTTTGGTGATTTCATTTTTCAGTTCCAAGTTTCAGAGTTCTTAAGAAATATATGGATGTTTATTATGCATAAGTTAGAGACGTTTCATATTTATTAACTTAACACTCAATTCAATTTTTTGAGTCCTACTCCATTGAAAGTGATTGAAGTGGAACGAGTGGTAATCTTGAAAGATGTTGGAAGTGGTAGCTTTTAAGTAATTAGTTTTATTTTCCCTATCTATTCATTTATTGTGGGTGATGGGCATTCTATAGTTCTTCATGCATTCTCAAATCATGTTATAACTCTTCCTTTTAAGACTATTATATTGGTACATTTTCATTCTGAAATATCTGACATTTCCCTGTATTCTACAAAAGGAATTGTTTAGTAATTTATCAAATTATCCAGGTTCTTAGAGATGGGCAATGGCAAGAGCAAGATGCATCTATTTTAGTACCTGGAGATATAATCAGCATAAAGCTGGGAGACATCATCCCAGCTGATGCTCGTCTGCTTGAAGGAGACCCTCTAAAAATTGACCAGGCAAGTATCTCGTAAATTATGAACGAAAATTTAGGTTTTTGCTATAGTCATCTGATGGCTTCACTAGATATATTCTCGTCACATAAACCATTTTTTAACTGGTCAAAATTAGATCTTATGGTGTCTTATTTTATGATTTAATATTGTTCTATACAGTCAGCTCTCACTGGAGAATCTCTGCCTGTCACCAAGAAGACAGGTGATGAAGTCTTTTCTGGTTCAACTTGTAAGCATGGTGAGATAGAAGCAGTAGTAATTGCCACTGGAGTTCATACATTTTTTGGAAAGGCAGCGCACCTGGTTGACAGTACCGAAGTTGTTGGGCATTTTCAGAAGGTGGATTCATAAAAACTTAAGCAAATTTCTTATATCGTTCACTTGATGAGGAACAAAACCAAACTGATATGTTAATAACAAGGTATAAGCTAAGTTGATTACATGAAAGACAGTGTTTCTAAGGATCTTAATTAGCACAAAACTGTGGTGCAGTTTTAGGTGTCTTCAATTAAGTACTCTACTTAAAAACATAATAAATGGGACATTTCACAGCTTGGCACCACATGATTTGATACTTAAAAATAGTTTCTCCACATGTTATGTTTTTATTGGAGAATCTAATGGCAAAATTTTTATGAATTTTACTTAAATTTTTCCCCTTTTATCATATCACTTCAAACGTAATAATGCAAACTATGGCTACTAATCCTACTGAGTCGGGTTTCTATTTCATGTGATCTCCTAATTTGTGATAATTTTGCGGTGCAATGTAACAATCTCATCTGCAAATTCTAATATCGCTGTGAAAATTGTTGGAGTTTTCTTATATTTGAAACATGCAAACTCTACTTTCTTATCATATCTTATGATATCCCTGAGTTGCTAGAGCTGAAACATAGCTTGATGATAATGAATAAATGAAAGCTTGAGCTAATGTAATGCTGTCCAAATTAAACTTGAACTGAATCTTTCAAACTGTTGCCCATTGTAAATTTGAAATTATTTGATCAATCATTCAAATTTCAAAACCAATGTTCCCTTAGTGTTATTGATTGATTTCTGCAGGTCCTAACTGCAATTGGGAACTTCTGCATTTGCTCTATAGCTGTAGGAATGGTTCTTGAAATCATTGTGATGTTCCCAATACAGCATCGCTCATATAGGGATGGAATCAACAACCTACTTGTTCTCTTAATTGGAGGAATACCCATAGCTATGCCAACAGTGTTATCGGTTACACTTGCAATTGGCTCTCATAGACTTTCACAGCAGGTGCAGCTTTAATGGATTTTAGCTAATAACATGGTATAATTAGGGTCAAATTCATCTCCACAAACTTGTTCGTCTGCAAATGAATTAGATTAAGCTTTTGTCAAACATGACTTAAAGCTACACTAGATGTCGTATGCTTCCTTTAAAATCTATTGCACTGTAGTTGATGTTTAAGTTAGTCATGTGCTCTTTATAATCACTTATTTTGCTGTGAAGGGAGCCATCACAAAACGAATGACAGCAATTGAAGAAATGGCAGGCATGGACGTCCTATGCAGTGACAAAACTGGAACTCTTACTCTGAATCGCCTCACTGTTGATAGAAGCCTCATTGAGGTACAGTGCAATAAATTTCCTTCTCATCAATAAATTTGTTTCATAAAAAAGTTAAAAATAACTAAGCTAACATGAACTAGTTTTGCAACACATGACATATGCTTCCATCCCTCTAAATAAATCCAGAGTTAGTCTGCTCATGCAAATAGGAAAGATATAGATCCAAAGGTGTCCTAAGGTCTGTGAATTCTTATTCATAACTGTCAAATCTGGGCTATGAACTGTTGGGAGCTTTTGTCCTTTGGTTGCCTGAATCACTCATAAAGTTTCCCATGTTTGTTTTACATATAAGACAGGTCTTTGACAGAAATATGGACAGAGATAAGGTTGTTCTACTAGCAGCCAGAGCAGCTAGATTGGAGAACCAGGATGCCATTGATGCTGCCATTGTTAATATGCTGTCTGATCCAAAGGAGGTAGAGTTTAAGGATTCCCTTTATATGTTTATTCTGAACATTTACTTCCCTTATTTTTATAGCAGGTACTTATAAAAGGAACCACTACATTTTCCCCTTGTAGGCACGTGCAAACATAACTGAAGTTCATTTTCTACCTTTCAATCCAGTGGATAAACGCACTGCAATAACATATATTGATTCTGAAGGCAACTGGTATAGAGTCAGCAAAGGAGCTCCTGAACAGGTATGCAAACTTGTGAAAGATATTGACTGCACAACACTTTTATTATTGCCTGATTTTTCCCCAGTTAACTTTTCATTTAATACCATCCGTATATATGGGAAGACCTTCATTATTTAATAAGAAAAAAAATATTCACAAGAAGCATCCTGATTAACAGAAGATAAGCTTGCAATTTCATCCATACAAGTTATTAGACTGACTTCTTGACTTTTGCAAATAACGTTTACGCTCTTGTTTATACATCCTAAATATCAGATTCTAAGCATGTGCCAAGAGAGAGATGAAATTGCTGGGAAAGTGCATGCTGTCATTGACAAGTTTGCTGAAAGGGGCCTGCGATCTCTTGCTGTTGCTTATCAGGTATAGCAGCTAGCATATCCTTCTCTTTCCTGAAATTGATAACGCAATGAATCAAAAACACATCACATTTTTAATCATAATCATTGGAGTTTCACACTAGGTTTTATAAAAACTTTTCCAGGAAATTCCTGAAAAATCTAAGGCTAGTCCTGGAGGTCCTTGGACCTTCTGTGGATTGTTGCCTTTATTCGATCCTCCAAGACATGATAGTGCTGAGACTATTCGTAGAGCACTCAATCTTGGCGTCTGTGTCAAGATGATTACAGGTAAATATGAACCATATCATTTTAGAACTATACATAGTTTGGTTGTGTTTCTGGTAGAATGTATTCCATTTCGATGCCTGAAGGTGACATTTTATTTATTTTTTCTTTTATTTACATGCTTAGTATATAAGATATTAATAAGCAAGTAGAGTGAAATTTAGGACTATTCAAGGCGCATGATATTTGAGGAACTGTGACAACTTAGTTTTCTCAACATTAAGAAACCACTCATCCAGTGGATGGCTATCTTAGTGATTCAGTTTTGTTCACCTTTATTTGATAAATCATATATAGTTTAATTTTTGTTATGCACCACATCTTTCTGGCATACCTCACTGATAAGCATGATACCTGTCTGCTTTGGATTCTTCCAATTCATCAACTTAAACGTTTAAAATAATAATTGTGTCATACCTAGGCTTAGATTAGATAACTTTGCTGATCATTTGTTAGGAATTATCTACTTATTTAATTCTTCTCAAAGTCAAGTGAAAATTCTGGGGGCTCATAATGCTTCTTCCCTCTTAAACATAAGCATCTGTTAATGTTTGTGGTTAAATATGTTAAGAAATTATGTTTGGTTTTCATTCTGGATAGTAGAAGGAGTTTGGAGGTAATATTAGTCACCATGTCATTGCAGGGGATCAGTTGGCAATTGCAAAAGAAACAGGCCGAAGACTAGGTATGGGGACCAACATGTACCCTTCTTCATCATTGTTGGGTCGTGACAAAGATGAAAATGAAGCTCTCCCTGTAGATGAGCTGATTGAAAAGGCAGACGGCTTTGCTGGTGTATTTCCTGGTATTTGGATCTGATATTTATATAAAATACTAGAAAGCCACAAATATAAAAGCAAGCTTTTGAGCGAACATCTCAGAGAACATAAATGGCATAAGTGGCATTACTGGAAAATTGGCCAATGTGATTGATATTTTCTGTGTATCTAACCATGAGCAATTGGCTTAGGTTTCTACCATCTTTTGAACTTCTATAAAACTGTACAATATGATATGATCAATTGACACAACTTCAATAAATTGAACAAACAAGTGAACATATTGAGCATTCAAATGAGTGATATGACCAGAAGGCCAGTATGTTTCCCGTTACATAAGTTTGGATGAATTCCTATGTGTAACTTGTCTTGTTCATACTTGCTAGAATATGGTCAGACTTTTCACTGATTATTTTTGTCATGGCTGCATTTTCAGAACACAAGTATGAAATTGTGAAAATATTACAAGAAAAGAAGCATATAGTTGGAATGACTGGAGATGGTGTAAATGATGCTCCGGCTTTAAAGAAAGCTGATATTGGAATTGCTGTGTCAGATGCTACAGATGCCGCAAGAAGTGCCGCTGATCTAGTCTTAACTGAGCCAGGCTTAAGTGTGATTGTCAGTGCTGTGTTAACCAGCCGAGCTATATTTCAAAGAATGAAAAATTATACAGTTGAGTTTGCAAGTTACCTTTTCCCTATATGAAGAAATTTCTTTTCTGCATCAATATAATATAACCTCAAGCTAGAAACCACGCAGCTTAGAAAACCTAATTTCTTCCTGCTAACAATGATTATAAATGGAATGACTTATGACTGAAGTAAAAGTTCTTGAATTGATCTTTGTTTTTTGACGTAATGATCATATGAAACTGATAGCTTGTATAAATGCAGATATATGCAGTTTCCATAACAATAAGGATAGTGGTAAGACAAGTTCATCATCCTATTTCAATATCTTTTTCTTATGGTTTTTTTCTTTGGAACTAAATTAAAAGTGATTTTTTTAAACTTCCATGTAACTTGCAAACAAAATACTTTTGCAGCTTGGTTTTGTGCTCCTGGCATTGATTTGGGAGTATGATTTTCCACCTTTCATGGTCCTGATCATAGCAATACTGAATGATGGTGAGTGGAAGCAATAAACAGGAACATATGCACGAACTATATTTTTCTTTGATTGTCCAAAATTTCATTGCATATGCTTAGCTAATTGATTGAAGGAGCATTTATTCACCGGTTCTTTGTAACTGATAGGGTAATGTAAGGACTATTATCACCAAATTTTAAGTAGAATCAAGATGCAAGAATGTTTTCCTTGGTTTTGCAGTCTCCCCTACGCTGTTTGCTCATTATTTATATATCAAACGTCAGACTGTCACCTGTTAACAGGGTGTACTTTTTTTAATATTGTTAATCATTGTTGGTATTAAAAATGTTTGTTCTTCTAAACTTCTGGAAATAAAAAAGATAGTGAGAAGGGGGATTGGCGTGGCCTATCTCCTGGAGAGTTATTTTTTTTCTTGGTATTGTATAGGTATTTTGTATTTTGGCCTCATCAAGATTTATATGAGCTTTGTAATACACGTGCCTTTTTATCTCGGCCCCCATCATTCTTAACTCCTGACCAGTAAGAGAGACCTTTTTGTTACCAGTTCTCTATTATGAACTATGAACTATGAATTTCAACTTTCAATTAGGAACTATAATGACCATATCCAAAGACCGAGTAAAACCATCTCCAACACCAGACAGTTGGAAGTTGCCTGAGATCTTTGCAACTGGAATTGTCATTGGCACTTATCTTGCTTTGATCACTGTCCTTTTCTACTGGGCCATAGTGCAGACCACTTTCTTTGAGGTATAAAACTTTATGCTTCTTTTTCTTTCTTCTTCCTTCAACCCTCAAAAGTCAAAATCATTTGGAATGTAAGGTGAAGATATATTTAGTTTGACTGTACTCAACAAACATCCTTAAGTTGATTAATTTGTTGCTGCAGACGCACTTTCATGTAACCTCCTTATCTAGCGATAGTGAGAAGGTTTCATCTGCTGTGTATCTTCAAGTTAGCATCATCAGCCAGGCTTTAATCTTTGTTACCCGTAGTCGGGGCTGCTCTTTTCTGGAGAGACCTGGAGTTCTTTTGATGTGTGCCTTTGTAATTGCTCAGTTGGTAATGTCACTCTAAAAGCTTTTCCTCCTTTAAGGTTGTTAATCATGTTGAATTTTTTCATTCCTATATTTGCTTGACTTTCAACATTGAGTTGACATATTTCAATACCTCCAATGGAGTAGGGGAATTAATAAAACCAATCATGGGATATGTCGTAATTTTTTCATAAAACAATTTAAAGTTTTTGATTCAAAGTTGAGTCAGGAGTTTGTTCCTTCCCAGTTCCCACTCCTCTTGACATCTTGCAATAATATGATAGGAAAATCAATCAAAGTTATTGTTTTTGAATAATTGTTTTGATTTCTGCAATATGTTATGCTCAGGTAGCAACCTTAATAGCTGTCTATGCACATATCAGCTTTGCTGATATCAGGGGAATTGGATGGGGTTGGGCTGGTGTGATATGGTTATACAGTTTAGTGTTCTATATACCCTTGGACATTATCAAGTTCATGGTGCGCTATGCCTTGAGTGGAGAAGCCTGGAATCTCTTATTTGAAAGAAAGGTTATTGCAGGCTTCACCTTTTGACCCTTAGTTTTTATCTTAACTGACCAAGACTTCGCCTACATTGACTCAATCTATTTCAACAGACTGCTTTTACTTCGAAGAAAGACTATGGGATGGAAGATAGGGCTGCAAAGTGGATCCTTTCTCAGACAAGCCTACAAGGATTGAATACCATAAACTTGCGGGTCAATGCAAGGCGATCTTCTTTAATGGCAGAACAGGCCAAGCGAAGGGCTGAAATAGCCAGGTACTTTTTAACTTCGTCTATATAAAATAGGCATATTAATATTAACTTGATCATGAAGAACCATGTATGCATGACGAAGGCAGATTCATATATTTTGGCCTGTGATTTGTTCGATCTATCTAACGAGTTTTAACCAAATCTGTGTCTCTTATAGGTTGTCACTATTTTTTACATCCACAGTACCTTCCATTAGTCTTTCTAGCTGCAACAAAGTTGTGTTGATGATTCATTTATCCTTTTGAGTTTTCATAGATTCATTACATTGTGCAGGCTGGGAGAATTACATACTCTGAGGGGATATGTGGAGTCTGTGTTGAGACTCAAAAATTTAGACCACAGTGTGATCCAATCAGCTTACACAGTTTAAAGGCAGCATACAAGTCCTAATGCACTATCTTCTTCTTCCTTCTTTTTTTGGCCATCTAATGCACAATCTTCAGTAAAGGCGAGATTGGAAACTTTGCCACTTGTTAGTGAAAATTTTCCTGTTCAAAATTTTGTAGGAATGTAAAGCCAAAGAAAGATGGTATTCCAATGATGAGCTTAGATAATAATAATATTTGGAATACAAATTACAAAATGATGACAAATAGATAGACTTGATCATTCTGCATATCACTAGATGAAAAATAAATACATTAATAAATAGAAAGGGAGTTTCAATGCTTTTTTATGTAAGAAACAACGTGAGGCGACAGACGAGAAACAACGGAGAGGAGAAAGGGTATGATTTTCGTCATGATCAAAATCTATAAAGCAGAGTTAACATTTTTTTTAAAGTTTTACTAAAGTTAAACACATTTTTCCATTTTAACAATTCAAAACTCTCTTTGAAATCAACTAGTAAATTGCACATACTTTTTATATTTGTTAAGAGTACCCGAAATTTCATCAATTACATATATTAAAAATAAAAGACCTATGCAATTTAAATAGAACTTTAGAGAACTATGTTAGTCTATAATCCATTGAATTTAAAATAAGTAAACACGTTTTTTTACATATTATATAAAATAAAAAATAATGATTCACACACGACAGATTTAATAATGGGATTTCCACGATGGTTTAAGACTCAAACAATGTGCTTTATTTCAGTATAATTATGAAAACTTAAAATTTATTGTAATAATTTAAACGTGACTGTAAATGAGCTTAGAATAATTAATGAAGATTCTTTAGGATAATGTGTTGATATTGTCATAGTTTATTTTGGGAAGTATCATTGATGTGTAAGAGAGTTTCAAAATCTGTGTTGGAGTTTCAAAATCATACTCTATTTTTTCATTATGATTGTGTGTGCTATAAAAAGTAATAAAAACACCCTATCGTAAGATTGTACAACTATGGGCAGTATTTACTTTCCCTAACAAACGGGAAGTGGCGAACTATGATACACAGCATAATTACAGAGGGGCGGAACTAAAGTTCGTTCGCGCCATGAATATCGTTGATGACAAGAAATCCAAAGCCTCCTTCACGTTTGCTTCATCGGGAGAAGTTTCAAAGAAATTAGTGGGTAATGCCGGCTGAAGAAAAAAGTTCCTCTCAAATGGAAATGAAGAGACTGAAGCGCTGTTCATTTTTCTAACTCCTTTTCAAAAGCTAAGACTTGATACACTCTTGCTGTTCAAATCTATAGGGCCTCTTTTGATTGAGAAGGCAAATTTGAGCAGTATTAGAGCAATTTGAGAGGCATATACACTGCAAACTTACTTGACATTGAACTTGTGCAGGAAATGACCACTGCCCCAACCCTTCTCTTTTCCCTTTTCTATTGTTGACAACAAAATTTGAAGAAAGTTCTCTGCATCATTCTCAGATGCAAGCTCCAAGTTTGTCTGAGAAAGTGGAAGATGGCTAGAAAAGTGGTTGAATCGAGCTGCTCTTCTACCACCACCGCTACCTCTCTTGGGAGAATGGTGTTGTTGCCTCAATAAGGTATCCGGTCTACTGCCAACAATGTGTACCACGCCTTGACTGGTGTTAGCGTGGATTACACTCTCCAATCCAATCTCCGAGTTGATTATCCACTCCAAGTCAGCCGGAATGCCGCAGAATTCAGGTGTACCCAATTTTACCAAATTGGGACAGAAAACAATCAATATGAATCTTTCTGTTAAGACCACAAAATTGCCCTCCTCTTTAAGTGCTTTGCAAACTACTAATACCTCATCTTTGTACTTCAAGCCATTATCGACCTCCATGATGATGGATGTTCCAACTGCTTCTTCCCAAGAGTACGGTCTTAATGGAAGTTCAACATTTAATGGCCTTGGAATACGGACCCTAAAGCGTTGTGATCGTACTTGGTTGGGTTTACTGCGGTTTCTAATACTGAGTGCAGTTTTTCCAGTAACTTCAAGAATACTAGCTGCTGGTTTGGCAACAAGTCCTGTTACCCCTAAAGCTATCCCTGGCCCCAAGAAAAAAATAGACGTCAGAAAAGCACTTTCAGTAGTTAACCAAAACGAATATCGTATGTACAAGTACAACAACAATCGTGGTGTCAATTTAAAAAGTTGCTGCAATTTACATCAGGAAAAGTTCTTAAGATCATCCTAGCTGATTTACCAGAGAGGACACCAGGAAGACCATGTCTCTCAGCTCCTTGTATGGGTGACTGGAGAAGACCAGTGAGTCCCTGGAATCCAAGAAGGCAAGGAGAATACATTTTAGCAGATACATAGGCTGGACATACATGCATCTTTAAGATTACGATGACTACTACTACTACTACTATTTCACGTTTTCCTCATAACTGCATAAATAGAACTGTAAATGACTAATTCAAGTGCTGCACAGAAACAGTCAAAATATTGTGTGAGAATGCAATCTAAGGAGAAAGAGCACAAGATCAATAACACAGTACAGAGTATTTCTTGAAAAGCTATCAAGTAGTTTCATTCACAAACCTCTAGTAGTTCACTAATTACTCCTTTACTGCCTGAAGTGACATTTAACTGTTGTTTTTCCATTCTTGAAACAGCTTGGTCATCATATGTAAATGCAACAATACCCTGAAAAATAAAAACTGTTAGTAATGGTTAAATTTTGTTTTTTTGTTCTTATTTGGGATGAAATCATTATGACATTGAACGAAGAAACACCTTGCGAGCAGCTTTACTGAACTGAGAAGTTGCATCACTAATAGCATAGACTGTATTGCTTAAAAGACTAGTGGTGCCTTGGGCCATGCCAGTAATAAGTCCAACAGGGCTCTGGCATATGAGTCAATGATTCTAAATAATCAGTTCATTGAGGTTTTACAAGGAGGGATAAAAAAGGGCCAGCAAAATTGTGATTCTTACCTTCATAATACTCTTGGCAGGAACAGACAAGAAATCTCTAATACCAAGGCTCATGCTCCTTGCAAAGCCCATGGGATTACCAATAACACCAGCAGAACCAAACAACTTCAATTTCAGAAAGTGGAACAAGATGTCAGATATGAAAGTGACATTAAGATGCTTACACACTTAGAGGAATGCTCTGTTGTAGCAGCAGTTTCCTAGACTATTCATTCAGAAAGCCAATGTCTAGACAGAAAGTTGATAGTTTTCAACATGGAAAATGGATGATGAGGTAAGAAAAGCAGAGTTTTCAGTAACTCCTAACGGTTGATGAAAACAATAAAATTCAGATATTTTAAAGTTCAGATGAGCCCACGATATAACCATGTAAATTTATTACTCAAGTTTTATCGCACTGCTATCAGACCGGCAATGTTATATAGTAGTGAATGCTGGGCTCTAACGGGACAGCAAGAGCATAAAGTTGGAGTAGCAGAGATGAGAATGTTACAATGGATGTGCGGACATACACGTGAAGATAAAATTCGAAATGAGCACGTACGCGAAAAAGTGAGGGTGGCACCTATTGAGGAAAAAATGGTAGAAAATCGGTTGAGATAGTTTGGGCATGTACAAAGAAGACCAAGGGAGGCACCAGTGAGAAGAGTGGAACATATAACTTTGAGTCCGATTAAGAGAGGTAGAGGAAGGCCTAAGAGAACACTCTTGAAAGTTGTTGAACGCGATCTCTTAATTAATAATATTCCTAAAAGCTTGATAAATGATAGAACACAATGGCGTCTTGCAATCCATGTAGCCGACCCCACCTAGTGGGATAAAGGCTTGTTGTTGGTATTGTTGTTGTTGTAACATTTGAAAGACAACCATATAAATATGTGCAAGTTAAAATCATTTCAATACAACAGACCCAACCCTAATCAAGTTATCCAGACATGTTCAATGTTTAGAATAATGATTCAGTAAAATTAGCCAACATATTCCAACACTTTAATACCGACAACTGATGAGGGAATGATTCTTGCACTATCATTTCAGCTTTGACATGTCTTTGCGTGAATAAAGAAACATTTGAAAGGTCACTTTTTACCTTGTAAGTCTCATGAAGCAGTTGCCGAGTGTAATGCTTGATTAGAACCTCCTGAATTGACTCCAGACTAGCCATATGATGAGCTATTGTTAACTCCTTCAGATAGATTTGTGCTCCTTCAACATCAGCAAGGGCCATCAAACCCCTCTGTAAGTAATTGTGACTTAATAAGAAAATCAAGCACAGAGATGAGTTGATTCATTAGAATATGTACATATCTCTGGAAAGCTGTATATTTTATTCTATTGCTTTTTTATTGTTCAAATGGATAAGATGCCTGGATTAATTATTCGAAATTTTGGGGTCAGCAATTGGTACTCCTTCTAATTTAGGGTACTTTTTTTGGCAGTGTGCCAGAGCTTTAGGAAAGAGTCCAAAACACCAAGGACATATTTGATGTCAAGGACAGGAAAAAGCTGCATGTGATTTAATTGGCCTTAGATAGACCAGTCACCAAACTGATAGAACCTCTTAGCTTTTCTGGTACTGTATTGAAATTTTGGCCACGTCATGTCACAGCTACTGGCAGAGTGAAGAAATATTATACGACATGATCTGGATAATAGACTTATTGCCCCTGAATCTTGACCTTTTGGTTTCTTTTTCCGCCTAGTGACATTCCCCATGTATTCCTCCACCCGAAAAAAAAAAAAAAAACTGCAAGCACTTTACTGGTGATTCACTGGCGGTGAGCAAATACCACATGCAAGGATGAAGAGATCAGGTGGATGGTGATGCGGAGGTAAGGAGAAGGTTGGCGATAGTGATGCTAACCAGAACAGATGTGGAGGAGGGGATCTGGTGAGGGGAAGGCTGGAAATGAGATTTACTGGATGCCAAAAAGGGATCTGGATGGAAGAGATGATAAGGGACAAGTGGACGCTGAGCAATAAAAGCAAAGGACAACGATGGCACGGAGAAAGAGAAGACATAATGGAGAAGAAAATATGCACATTTTGGTAATTCCATTTGATTCCAACATGAATGAATGTTGATTGATCTCATTTTTGGAAGAAATGCTGACTCATTAATTTGTGATAATGGGCATTCCTTGGGAATGATGATGCTAGGCTATGAATGACAACCAAATGCAACCCACCTAGGAATAGAAACCGGATTCCCATTCTTTGGCCCATCTAGAATTGAGCCAAACATGCCCATAGGATTGCTCCTCCATGTATGTGTATATGTCCACGTAATTTCTTCGATGGAAATCATAAAAGAATACTTTCAGAGCTCTCGTGTCCTTATTAAAATAAAGTTATTATATGATATTTTTTTTTCAATATATAAAAATTTAAATTATATCTATTTCATTATTATTGATTCAATTCTGGTTGAACAATTGAACCAGTGCTTTTACCTGTTCAACAACCTATTCAAAAAATATTTTCACGAATCCTTCACATAAAATCATTACTTACATGGATAATAGATTCTTCGGACATGAGGATTCGATTTTGAAGCATCCATGGGGCACTGGAAAAACTGCATCAAGTAGGGGATAAATCAAAAACAGGAATCTACAAACTGCAATTTCGATAGAACATAATGAAGAATAGATGACCTTAATGTCAATCTGATTGGTGCCAGCTCAAGCACTTCAATGTAAATTTTCTTCTGTGTTTTGGCTAAAAGATAAATATGCTGCCATGGGGCACCGATTGGAACTATGGAAGGCAATGACACATTGCGTTTGGAGCTTCCATTAAAGACAGGAGTAATCAATGCAGGATACTGATCATCCCTTGAAATCAAATTCTCAATAGACTGAACAGACAATGAGGAATTCTTTAGCGAATCCCCATCACAGAGATCAGAAGATGACATGTTTAGATACTGAAGCCTAGAAGAAACTTGTGTTAAGAACTCAAATAAGCTTAATATGACCTCTTGCTCAAGTTCCAGACGAAAGTCTGCAATGCTGCGAGCATTGAATATAATATTAAGAGTTAGATGAATATAAACACAAAGCAATGCAAGCAACTATATAAACTCAAGATGCACACAATTAAGAATAACAAGTACCTCAATTTTATGAATTCAAATGTAACGAATGAAATGTCTTTCTTTCTCCATTTTGATATTGCTAGGAAAACACAGGATCACAGGAGCTGTTGAAGCAATTCATTTGATTTATTTTTTCCACTCGTCTTGCAACATCATCCTTAGATTTCATATTGTCAGCCTCATAGGGTTTGTATTCTCTATCAAAGGACAGCATAACGGGATATGGAGTAGACCGCAATTGATTATCAACTTGTAAAAATGAGATCTCAAAGGAAAGAATCTGCCGATCCAAGCTTTGAAGCAGATAGGTTTTTAAGTCCTTCATACAGACAAAAAGCAACTCCTACAACAATGATAACTGTTTAAAAAAGGTTGAGGAGACCAAGAGTCAAGAAATATGTAAAAAAGATAAGTAGTTCAAATACCTGTGAATAACAATTAATCAAAGAGATACCAATATGTGGAATAACAATTGATATTTTCTCGCTGTACTCTGCAGGCCTGTCAAGATTATGATCACGCAACTTTTTCCCCACAGAGTGTGAGAGACTTGGCTTCTTTACGTTACTAGGAACATGGCAGTTTGAATCAAGAACACTAAGGACCTGCAGGAAATAAAAGTTAACAGAGGATAAGAATTGAGATTTTGGCATGTCATGTACAGATGGAACGAAGGCATTATGGATTCACCTTCGTTGCACCCTCCGCATGGACTGATAAAAAGAATGTCCTCTCCGGCTTCTGAAACCATCATCAGTGCAAACAATCATTAGTATCATGAAAGCTCAACTTACGTTCAAAGATTTAGCAATGATTAAATCAACAGATAATAAACCATTACTGAATTTTGGGAAAAAAAAATCATTCATAATTATTTCAATATTTACTAATGAAATGCATGTATAACTACGTCAAGCAAAGGCATGGTTGGAAGCTTAGGTTTACTTCTGCGGTGGGTGGCAGGTAGACAGGCATATATTCTTTCACATCGTCAAGGGCATATGATCCCAAAACTCGCTCTCCAGGCACCTTTAATGACAGCAAACCTTGTCAGGAGAAGTCATTGAAATTCAATTTTTAAATACAAAAATGGTTTACCTCCAAAATAAGACGATGAGGATAGCAGGGTTCATCCCAGGCATAAAGGCAAGACGTATAGGAGTGAACAACTGTCTCAAACATTTCACATCTCTGCTGATATATTCTCAATCTCTACAAAGCAGCAAGAACACGGAAGAAATTTCAATGAACATCGAACCTAAAAAAAGATATCAACTACAATCATACTGACATGAAAAGATAGAAAAAGCAGAGCACAGATATTGACTGACACAACAATTAATTGTTTGTAATCATATTATAGTATAGTAAATCAAGTCAAAGAGGAATGCTTAAAGGACGGCCCAACTTTATTTGGGTTACAAAAAGTTCTGCGTTGTAGCTAAAACAACAAGGGACAAACCTCCTTTGAGAAATTATCAATTCTGTATGGCATATAGCAAGTGTCATCATTTGACAAGAGGATCAGTACAGTCCCTGAGTTTCCTTTGATGCTTCCAACAATTTTTTCATCACCCATGGATATATCAGCATTTTGCACTTCAGCTCGAACCATATGTATGGTTCCCGAAACAAAATTCCTCATTTTTAATTGAGTATCACCTAGGTGATCTGGTAAGAAACTTCCAGACCACTCCCATCCAGGTTCATCATAAGATATTGAAACAAGCAGGTCCCTGTGCACATTAGAATTGTTACAAATGAAGTAAAGGAACAAGAAGGAAAAGGTACCTTGCAAAAATTAGTATTACAGCAATAGAGAATAACTGGGAGGATTCAACTAGTATAGGCATCCCATATTTCAAAATATAAAAATAGACTTTTAGAGAATATAATTTTCATCAATTCAATTACTACGTGATGAAAACATACTATATTTATCATACAAGCAAAACCTTGGTTAATTTATCATAAAAGTAGTTGGGGTCAACTACATGACATGCACGACGCCATCGTACTTTATTATTAACTAAGCTTTTAAGAACATTATTAATTAAGAGGTCTTACTCAACAATTACCATAAGTGTTTTCTTAGGTCGTCCTCTATCTCTTTTTATAGGGCTCAAGATTATCCGTTCTACTCTCCTCACTGATGCCTACCATTGCCTTCTCTGTACGAGTCCAAACCATTAAATTTTTGTACAATGAAACCTTGAATAAAATTGTATAGAATACATTGCTCTCCCACAACTTCATGATGAACAAGTGCCTTGCTGATCATGCATGCCAAATTTTAAATAAATTGCTCCACATTAGCAAGCTTGATTTAAATACCAGAAGGTTTATTTTGAACATCACAATGAACACACAACTCTTTTTCATATTTCTGTTTTCTTTGCATTAGACAAATAACAGGGTAAAAGAGCACAATTAAGTAGGGTATGGAAGGGAATTAGGAACGATTCTGGTGTAGGACAAGGAAGGAAGAGGTAAAGGGGATGATAACAAGTTGAAGATATAGAGAGAAAGAAGGGAGAAAAGAAAGAAGAGGGAGAAGCAGACAGATAGGGGATGAGAGCTGATGAAAAGTATCTAGTTTCAGTAGTAATAATTCATTAAAAGGTCCACAGTGAAAATAACCCTAGGCTATGTATTGAGCCCTAAATACAACAACAACTAACATAATATAAACTCAACTTGAAATAAAAATAAAAGAAAACCTCGCTTAAACTCCAAGTAAAATAAAGCATAAAAGAGGAAACAGCTTAAGAATGCCTGATACAAGACGAATAAAGTTGTAAGAATAATTTATTAATATATCAAATAAAGGTTTCCTAATTTCTCTTCTTGTCTCCTTCCATGAAAGAACTCTCCAATGGAGAGTAGCATTGCTGATACGACTCCAATAAAGCAAGATGAAAGAAAGGAACACCTCTAATTAGCATCTAAATAAGGGAAACCTTTTTAACAAACAAGACAATGGTGAAGCGAGTCATAAGGCGAACAAAAAATTTGATTAATCATAACCACAACAGCAGGTGGCACAACAGACTTCAACAAGTGGGATCTAAGTAGAGAAACTTCTCCTTAGTGATCCAAGTAGAATCCAAATCTTGAGAAACTTTCCAACAAGGTAATAATAGAGGGTGACATGAGGAGAGAGCAGGACATGCTCTTCCATAGCCACAACCCTAATACAAGAACAATAACAAACCTTATCCTACTAGGTGGAATCGGTTATATGGATCACATTTTGCTAAGTTATTCTATCAAAAATCATTCTTTAGATTATCCAAATTCCTAATACCCAATAAATTATATATTTACATTAATTGCAAAAGAAAAATCTCCTATTACCAACCCTAATTCACAGATAATGATTACATAAATTAATCCATAATTGATATTAACTGAATCACGTGAAAGGTATACTAATGGTGTGCATTAATCATACTGTACATAAACCTTACAAAGTACATGTCATTAATATATAGTTGAACGAAGATGCCCTGTTAGCCCTCTTAGATGTGACGATGGTATAATTTACTTCAATGCTAGACAGACGTCAACCAATCCTCATGTATATATATCCATATATTTGTAGCTATTTTATTATAACGAATGAATATGGAATAATTAAGCAGCTTAGACTGTACATGCTTCAAATTCAGCATCTCAAGGTGAATAACTGAAAGGGAAATTCACAATAAATTACATACAGAAATTAAAAATACCAGAATTCACAAGATGACTAATCATTTAGGAGAAGCACTACGTTACATATGTTCCATTCAGCAAATGCAAAACCAAGTATTTAATTTTTCCCCAGTAACTGGTCATGTCCAAGATAAACACGACACAAATTAAATAAAGTTACCTGGTTGTATCTGTCCAGTGAAGATGAGCATGTTCTCCTGTGCCCAAATGAAATACGATGTCAGTACCCTTTTGCTTATAACGTACATCCTTGCTGCATGCATTGCTGATAACATATCTGCAGAATTAGACCCTACTAATCAGACACTATGACACGTCACGATGAAATCAACTATGTGAAGAAACAGATCATCATAAAAGCTTTTTAGGAGGCCCAAGGAAGATTTTTATCTGCAATGCTCCATCATGTTAAAGATTTTAACACATGGGTTTTCTGATGTGACCGTGAGATATGGTCAGACTTATAAGAGGAGATCAAGGGGGCAGTTGGGTGTAGAAAGGAAATACCCATTGGGTTAGGATTAATATCCTGAGGGTCCAGAAAAGAAGGATTATGCCATGATGTTTTGGTAGGGTGGCTTAGATTTAGTCTCGATATTGAAGTCACCTTTTTGCTTGCTTTATTTGGCTGTATTATTTTTGTTGGCACTCAAGGATGTTTTAGAGAAGTTAGGCAGAAGTGAGGAGAGTGCTGGTCTCTCGAACACCAGTGAGAGACCTTTTCTTGTTGCTGTGTTCTTCCATTTAGTTTGTAATTTCAGTTGTTGGGAATAGGGTTTTGGCTAGAATCAGTGAGTTTCTCTTGTAACACTGATTCAGTTCATATGCATTAATATCAAAAACCTCAGAATTTCCCTCATTTATTTCTCTTTACATTGAAAGCTTGGTTCTATTAGTTACTTTAGAGCAGAGCTCTAACATTTTCCTATGCAGAAGATAATTCAAAATTTGTCAGAGTGTGATTGCTCAACCAGCTGGTCAAGTCTGGTTCTCAAACCACTAGCAAACTCTTGACAACTTAAAGATCTAATATCACTCCAAAAATTAAGTAATCACAAAAGCTAAAATTAATTCGAGGAAGCCAATAAAAGGATTTATTGGTAGTAATATATGGAATTACTGATGCGTGCACGTGCATATTGCTAGATTCAGAGAGTATATTGTCAATAACTTAGTCTGAGGGAGCTTAGTGCGTAATCTTTCTAGATCCTGGCCCACAAATAGTTGAGCTCATTGCATAGAAATTTCTTCAGAAAGATATACAAACGCATCAGAGCTCTTTCTTCCCCCCAAGTAAGCATGAAGACAAAAATGTTACCTTGGCTGGAATGTAATTGCATTTATCCTTCCGGTATATGATTCAGCAACTGAGGTAGATGTCATTGCTAGAATGAATGCAGAATTTGCAAATGACTGAGGAACAAGGATATTACTTGAACCACTTGGCGGTGAAAGAGAAAAAGGGCTTGACCATAATGAATATGGCGACTTTTCCATAACATGTGCAGGCCAACATCTAGCAACTTTAACCAGAACGTCATTTATAGAGGAAACTGGGTTTGGTGAATAAATGCATGGCCCAACCTTTTCATGACCATGATGACCAGAACCTGATGTTTTTGAAGTTGACTGAACCTTTGAGCTTAGTCCACTCTTTGAGCTGCTTACACAAGAATTTTGGAATTTTGAATTATTTATACTTGTTTTCTTCCCTTCATTTTCCTGGCAATTTTGAGGGAAAAGGGGGTTGCTTAGGAAACTCCTCAAAGGACTAACTCTCTCTCGAGTCGAGATAATACGATTCCCCAAAGAACTCCTTGGGCGAGGAGGAATATCAGCATCTGAATCATTGCTGGAACATAAGAGAGAAAAACCATCTCTTTTCCCCACAAGGGTTTCATTTTCACTAGGATCATAATAGGAAGGGACAAAAATTCCCTGTTCCTTAATTTCAGAAGTGGCTTCTGTTATGCACAGAGGGAAACCCGTGCAGTTATACAAAAGGAAGGGAACAAATATGATAACTTCCCGACTACCTGAATGTGCATCCATTGCCTTCTCCACAGTCACATACAAAGGGCCTACAAGTAATGATAAATATATCGGTTATACAACACTCTCAGAATTCAATTGAAACTACCACAAAAAAAAAGTGAAAGAATGTTGATTACCACGTAGATTACTTGATTCAAAGGTCAGTGTTTCAGATAATGAAAATTTGTTTTCGCTAAATTTAGCAGTCATGCAGAAAGTTTCCAACCGAGGAAATTTAAAATATGAAGGCTTGAATCCATCAATGCAGATTTCCAGTCCAAGATCATGTGAAGGATCAATGTGATAAACAGTAGTTTCTCCCTTGAAAAGAAAACATGATGTAAAATAATTAGAGGCTGTTGCTCTAGTATCAAAAAAATGTGAACGGAACTATAAATGCTGTATTGAGCATTCATAACAAACAGATAAAGCAAGAGGTCTATCACAAACCTCTGAAACTGCTATTGTATGATTTACCCCGCCACTATCAGTTGTCAAAACAATATCTTTAGGAATGTAGTTGTTCACTATCAAAGGAACATTTAAGACTACGTGATGAACAAAACGATTGTTCGCCTCATCCACAGGGACGTTCCTTTTCATCCAGCCAGATGACATCAAGGTGATGCTTGTGACTGATAGGCAACAACGAAATGCAGAACTACTAGGATTAGTTGGATAGCAAAGAAAGGACTTGAAGCTTCCCATTTTGTTATCTAATGAGAGAAGCTTTGAGAGGTTATGAGCTTCACTCCACAGGTAAGAGGTTCCAACTGGTCGCCACCTTAGAGAGCCAGCCTCTGCCAGATGTAATGGCAAAGGTAACTGTTGGCCAGGATATACAGGATCTAATATCTGAAATGGTGAAACCATGCATCACAGAAGTAATATCATTTGTGAAAATGTCCCGTGCCTAATGACCAAAATTTTGGAATACGAGGATAAGCTTATGTACCTTTGGTGACAACCCAAGAGGAATATCAAATCGTAGTTCCAAAGGTGTTGAAGTTGCATTTGAAAGTATAACCTGAATGTTCAAACTTAGATCATAATAAGGAAAGAAAGGGATGTATAAAGCAAAATGAAACTCAACAGCAACATAAAGAAAGACGCATCTTTGGTACATACAGTAGAGTATAGTCGTATTAACTTGCTATAGTGCAGTACTGAAACATCAAAGACAACAGGAACAACAAAGCAAGAAGCTGCATCAGTTTGACTGTCCTTGTCATTTTCATTGCAAGCCTCGGAGAAATTAACCTCAAAGCATGTAAGTCCTACTAAATCCATTGACATTGGGGCAGATGGCAGAGATGTTCCATCAAGCTGTATAGTAATATAATGATGAGAAAATCCACTTGACCTTTGTTCATTTAGACTATCCGAAGAACAAGAAGGCTTGTAACGAGCAAGTCGTTCTTCAGTATTTTCATCCATGTATATTGGAATCACAGAGCCTGGTTCTACACATATTCTGTTTTTCTCGTCCAAGTCATCAAGCTGATCAGGGTTGACAGGGTTGCTATATACATGACAGAACAGGGGCACAGAAGTCAAGTTTTGAAGAACATAAGGAGCAGCACACTTTCTAGCATGCATATATTCAGCTGAAGGTAGATGCCTCATTTTGTTGCTTTCAGATGGATCTTTGGACCCCATCAGATGCCAGGCATCCATAAGCATCTCAGTGATTCTAGAAATACACTGAAAAGAATGAAATTGGGGCATCAAAACAAATCAGATTACTAACATGTCAAGGACCACTTCAGTTTCATCTCAAAAGTTCAAGCTGTTCAACGAAAACCTATGAGCAGTTCTCATATTATCTTAGGTATAACCCAGAAAACGGAAAATGATATACCTCAATTAAGGGTTCTGAAATATTAATGTTAAGCTCAGCTGCTGAGTCAAGAATGATATCAGTTGTTATGGAGCTATTCAGCATGACACTCATTTCTTGTTTCCTAAATAAAGACAACCGAAATTGCCAAGGCTCAATAAAAGGCTCCCAAGAGACCTGAAGTTTTTGAAGCAGACAATATGGTTATCAGAAAATTATTCATATTAAACAAGGAACTCATGACAGTAATTTTACAACTTGCACCTTTTCAATGTTATTGTAATTAACTTGAAAATCACAAGTGACTGAGCATTCCATATCTTTTTCAGTAATGTTGACAAACAAGAGGATGTTCCTCAGTAGAATATCCAACTGGGGCCCACTGCAACTCCACTACAGAAAATGAAAAAGATTATATGATATAAAAACTGAAAATGCAAAGTAAGAATTTATGAAATTTGATGGAAGTACATATTTAAGTTAAGTAAAAATTCAGAGACAATCAAATCAAAACCATGTCAAATAAATGACCCAAGAATGCAGTATAAAGGAACTTTTTTCTTTGGCCAAAGGAAAAAAAAAATTACATCAAGAAGCAGGGAAGAGTGCAAGAAGTTGGGGGATAAGACATCCTCAATCAAAGAAAATAAGTCCAATATGAAAAATGAACAGCCTATGAAATGCCCTAAAAGAGATTATGCACAGCACACTAATAGGAATCCATGAATATCTTTCCCACAATTTTAAGGAAAACAAATGTCATTGAAGATACAGCCATTCCTCTTCAATAAGTCATTTTTTGTCCCTTGCATTGCCACTCACTAGACTGTATCCATCCACTTAGAGAAATGCAATTAATTTATGGTGTTAGATTCATCCTGTCATTATGGTTTTCTGTTCTTACTTTCTTCCTCTACTTCTCTTACCGTCAATCTTTCCTCTTGAGACAATCTTTTTTAGTCTAAAATAATAGCCTCCATAAATATTTAAGACAGAAAGGAGAACTTAGAATGAAATACCATTGGAAAAAAGGAATAAGAGACAAACAAACAAAAATTAGTAGAAAGAAAAATATGCTTCTAAGATTTACACAGCAAAGACAGCCACATACCCTTCCATCAGTTAGTAGAAGAGAGACCTTCCTCAACTGGAATTTAAAATCAACGTCAAACAATGAAAGTTGAGAAGACCCTTCCTCAGGAATATTGAATTTTATAGCACCCCAGAAATAGAAAACAGGATGTGAAAGCCACACATTTGAGTGATCACACAGAATCTCCAGTTTTAATAGCCTGGTGTCTGTCTGATTGGTATGGCGTACAGCCTCCAGGTAAACCTGAACCATCTCAAAAAGAGGCCAAGATATACGCTTTCTGTTCTCAGCTATCTTCATTATGCCACTGAATTTATCCACATTGGACTTTAACTGGACAACTGTGCTATTGATTAATAATTCAAACCGACTCATGCAGAAAGAGACAGAAAGAAGTTTCAAGTTTGTTTCTTCATCTGTTTCAAAAGATACACAAGAGGATGTCAGCTTGAGATCTTCACAAAACTGAAGATCAAGAGAAGATTCTTCAGTAACTGATATAGGAATGTGAAACGTCACTCCAACCATGTCTGATTTCAGAGTCAGAAAAACAGTATCCTTCATCTTTTCTGATGCAAAATGCGCCAAGGTGCTTTCAGAATGATGGAAACCAAAAGGATCTCTAACTGCTGTGTCATTTATAGAAGAAACAGCATTGTGTGGAAAACAACTCAACGATGCATCCAAGGGCACAGTTTTTGCAAAATGTTGCCAAAAATGATAGAGAAAGTTAACAATCTTAGTCCACCCAGGAAAATGTAGCCAGATACTAAGTGATGGAAGACAAACACAGAGTTCATTGTCACCCTCAATTGATTTAGAGAAAGTGATGTGAAGCACTAACGTAGATGAGCAAGTGGATGTGCATTTTGCCAACACCTGTGCATCTTGAAGAGAATGTAACACTAGCGAAGAGAAACCCAAGTCTAGCCTCACTAGAGAATCATTCATGAACGAGGCAGAGCAATTAAATTGCATATCAGTTTTGGATATCAACTCCACAGAATCTTCCTTTGTATAATAAAAGTTTATCAACATTGATTGAACACAACAGTTCATTTCTGTATATATAATGGATGAGGCCATAGGAGGAACTGCTCTGATCTCCTTTGAACTTCTCTTTGAATTGATAAACTGCAAAACATCTGATTTGAAATGATTGGATTGGTCACCAACTGAGGACAAATCATCAATGACATCTACCAAGGCTGCCAATCCCCCAAAGATGTAGCTATCTGTTAGCCCAGAGAGAGAGAGAGAGAGAGACAGAGACAGAGACAGAGAGTGAGTGAATCAGTATACAAAGATAGTGTGACAATATTCAAAATAGGGGAATGAGAATAAGAGTTCTACCTTCAGCAATAATTTGACAGCTTCTTATGCTTGTCATGAAGCATGTCACTGGATAAGAGTTTTGACAGTTGGATTCATTTCCAATTGAAATTCTGACCCAAACATCAGCACTGATGGGTGCGATTAAAGTGGCATCCACACATGCAGTATTTTGTTTGATTGTTGATGAACCTAATTTGTCATCCCTAAATAGTAGAAATGATAGGAACAAGTCTCTACCAAACATATTCAAACAGTGATTTTTCTGGGCAAGCTTATCATTTGGAACCATATAGTCCAGAGGAATACCCTTTATTTCATTATCTGAACAAGAATTATCAATAAAACTACAGTAAAGCTGTGGTATCTCAACCTTAAGAAATTGATGCTCCTTATTCTCCACAGGCAAAATGAGAGTAGAGTCCAAGATTTCAAACTTATAAGTAATGCTTTTGTCATTTTCTACATCTATATAACTCTGCTCTTTGTTGAGGAGCTGATCAGTTGAACGGCCACCCCAATCAGACAATGAGAAGTACCCAATAATGATGGATAAATATTCTGCCGGTAACATGCAAGAGACATGCTGAATACTGACACTTACTTCAAGCTTAGTTGTTGAAGGAATATTTTGACCATTTCTGACACGGACATTTAAAATAGGAGACAGTTTTGCTGAAGAGGGGCCCCATAGATAATCATGAAAATTTTTTGTCCACCAAGGGGAGGTAAGAACCAAACCTCCAGAGGAGCACAATATATCCATACTGTCTCCACAAAAGAATAGAGAAGACTTACATGTAGGCAACATAATCGTTCCAACTATGCATGATGAATCATGAAAATTTGCTGTCAGTCCACATAGATTCAACTCAAGAGAAAAAGGTATGTGGCAAAATTTGGACCTTCTCATGTTGATTTTTGGACTTCTGATTTTTTGATCCCTCAATATGAAATATTTTCTCCAGTCAGAGGCGGCATATAGTAGCACATTCTCTAAATTACCTAGAGAACCAGAATTGCAAATAGTAACAAATGGAAAGCGATCCAATGGAATGCATGCTGATTCAGAGGATCCAGGTTCAACATAATTTGAGAAGCCAAACTTTTGTAACCCAAAGCTTGCTATTGCTTTTGAAAGGTCAATATCATTTCCAGCAGACAAATTCTCAGAAGTGGTACCATATGCAGTCAATCTATCAAAAAATCTGACAAGCAATCCAACTACATGTGGATAGCAGTGGATACCAGCATTATTAACGTAAATAGTACACTTTTGACCAACTTTATTAGTTCTAGGAGATTCATAATGAATGACTAAACATGCATCAGCCAACATGGGTACACCAGAACATTGATCAGATTCATCGCATGTTTCAGAAACAGAAACTTCACTTGCAAGGCTGGGAGAAGAAAATTTCCCAGTTGAAAGCAATACAAAGCTATTCTCTTCATCTTGCAGTTTATAAGTAGAGATTCCAAAAGACTGCATACGGACAAAAACCTCCTCAAATTCCATAGAAGCATACCTGCAAATGATACAATAAGATAAAAACGGTTTTCTGTGAATATTTTGCATTCTTCATAAAACAAAACAAGAATAGAAAGAAAATAATGGGCAGAAAAATCTATAAACACGTGCTTCAGACAAAACAAAGATGACCTGAAAGTGAAATGAGGTATGCAAGCACTCAAACTTTGTGGTAGCTTGATGGTTAAAAAGTCCAACTGTTAGTATACACTATAAGGTTGAATTAATCAGCTTAGGCCAGCCCAGAAGCATTATAGAAGTGTTAAGTGTAGTCCAGAGTATCTAGTAGAACTCAGAACTATAAATAGTCATGGACAATACATCCAAGAACTAAAGAAAGCATTATTCTAGAAATACATTGACTCTGACACGTAACACCAACTTAGTGACAACATTCCACCTTGCTTTCATTAAAAAAATAAAAAATAAAAAATATTGATGGATCTAAAGATTTATTATATTATTGGAGGCAACATGGAAAGTAGAAAAAAAAAATTATACTCACAATCTACCAAGCATTTTACGTCACATCTCAAGGTTCCAATGACAATATTCCACCTTGATAGAACAGACAAGGATGCTGAAGACATATGAGAAGAGAAAGAGGAGGAAAGATAGTCAACAGGGGGACTACATTATCATTTGATGAGGTTGCCAGAGGAAAGAAAAAGGGAATAGAGTGCTGTAACTAACCATCACATGGGATGTGAGGGAGAATAGCTGGAGGAGAAAGAGATTGTAGTTGGGACGGTTTATCAAGGGGTCTGAAAGGAGGCATTAAATAATGAAGAATGAACTTTCAATGGAGAGTCTTTGGCCACTCAAAAGCCAGAGGTGTCATTCCTTTTTTCCTTGCATGGCCGCATCTACTTTTCATTCTATAAACCCCTTAATCCGTCTATTTAAATCTCTTTCAGAGTGTACTAGTCCTTAACTTACTCCAAAGAGATTAAACATTTAATTACTAGCCAAAACTCACCTCTAAGTCAGATCACTCAAAAAATATATGACTTCTTTTTTTTTGGATAAAAAACTATGAAAGTACTCTTCAGTCTTCAAGACTAGAGAAATACATGAAGGTCAAAAGGCCAAAATATCCTTAGCTTTCAATGCCTTTTACAGGAAAAATTGAGTCTCATAGAAAAGATGCCCAAAATATGGTAAAAACTGTGGAGATATTGTATTTATTGTAAACATTCTTATCTGATTATTAGGAGTTAATAGAATTTATTAGAATTATTAGCCATTTATTCGCTTGTCTCCTACCTTTGTGTATACATAGTCTCCTGTATCCTACTATTATGATCAATGGAAAATCATATTTATCCTCTCAAAAATTCCACATGGTATCAGAGCACATTAGATCAAAACCCTAGCTGATTTTTTGTTATGTCGCATAGCATAGTTTCAGACTGGTAGCTGACGGACAAAACCCTAATGGAGGACGAGAGGCTATTGGATCTCACCACCGGCTAAGGAAGGACCAAAGACCTCTGATTGGCGCAACCTCGAAGTTTGGTGTCAACTGACGGCGCGTGGCGGTCACACGTGCCACTCATCCATTCAGCGTCAAAGGGAGAGTCCGAACGCGTGGCAGCATGTGGAGAGTTCTTTCGACGACGACGACCTATTCCAACAACAATGGACTATTTCCAACCTAGTCTCAGCATTTTCCGGCTATAGGTCTTCCAAGCCTTCACCCTGTTCGTTGTATGTGTGTACTATCATAACAAAATAGACCTAAAAAACACATACCTAGAAATTCCTAAGGGAAATGGGCTTCTAATCTTAGAAGTAGTATGTCTCGGTCTTCTTGATCTGATTCGTACCCGTTTTCTCATAAGCTTTCGACAATGGATGATAAAGCTTGCAAAATTGCCATCAAAAGTTGTTGAATCTGATGCAGTATGTGTCAGTCAGATTTCACAATCAGTCTTTGTAATCTTGGCACAAAACGGTAATTTTCTTCAAGCCTTAAAAACGTCGAGGGCTGAAACATTGTGGATTGTTGACTCTGGAGCATCAGATCACATGACTGATAACCACCAATTATTTTCCTCATATACTCCATGTGCTGGAAATTTGAAAGTCAAAATTGCATATGGGTTTTTTGCTCCTATTGCGGGGAAAGAGTATTCGTATCTCTGAATCTATCACCCTAGAATCTGTTCTTCATGTACCAAAATTAGCATGCAATTTGCTGTCTATTAGCCAACTAACAAAACAATCTAAATGTTGTGCTAATTTTTTTCCAACCCATTATGTCTTTCAGGATTTATCATTAGATATGACGATTGGACATGCTAAAGAGTGTGAGGAACTCCTACTTCCTTGAGAATGCTAGAGTGAGTCATCATCAAGCCACTAATGTATGTAACTCTATATCGACCTCTAAAGATACAAATATTCTGTTATGGCACAAGAGGATGAGGCATCCTAATTTCCATTATTTATTTCGCTTGTTCCCAAACCTTTGCCCTACCAACCATAATGTCAAATGGGAAGTGTGTGAACTGGCAAAGTACCAACGAACATCATTTCCTAGAACATCGTATACACTCACCAAACCATTTGTTACCATACATAGCCATCTATAAGGTCTATCCCGTATCCCAAACCGCACCAAATCAAAATGGTTAATTACCTTCATCGATGATTATACTCGTGTTTGTTGGATGTATCTCCTAAAAGACAAGTCTGAGACTGCATCCATATTTATCAATTTCTTTACCATGATAAAAACCCAATTCAACACAAATATCCAAGTTCTACATACCGACAATGGTACTAAATATTTTAACCAGGTCTTGAGTACCTTCCTTTACAAGCATGGCATTATCCATCGAAGCACTTATGCCCATACACCCCAACAAAACGGAATTGCAAAAAGGAAAAACAGACATATTCTTGAAGTGGCTAGGGCTCTCATGTTCACCCATAATGTCCCAAAGTTTTATTAAGGGCATGCCATCTTAACTGCAACCTATCTCATCAATCAAATGCCCAGTTGCATTTTGTCTTTTGGTACTCCTCTTCAAAAATTGCAAAGTGTTTTCTCCACATCTCATATTGAAACCAACATCCCTTTTCGTGTCTTTGGGTGTACAGCCTTTGTTCACATCTATCAATCTAATAAACTTGGACCTCATGCTACAAAATGCATATTCCTTAGTTATTCCACTACTCAAAAGGGATACAAATGTTTTAATCCTATTTCCAAACACATGTTTATAAGCCTTGATGTTACTTTTCATGAAGATATGCCCTTTTACCCCAATTCTTCAATTCAAGGGGAGAGTATAAGTGAATCTCAAACTTGGGAACAAGAGATTAACAAAGAACAATTGCTTCCTTATTTTTTGTCCATACCAGCAAAGTCATTACCACCTCAATTACTAGAACCATCACTCTCATCCGAACCCTTACCACCATCACCATCTCTTGTGCCAGTCACAAAAGATGATTCAACATTTGGGGGAGAAATAGAGAGGCAAAAAGACAAAGAGTTGTTGGTTTATTCTCAAAAGCATAAATCCAAGGAAGGAGAGCAACTTATATCTAAAGCACCAAAGGAGTTAGAACCAGTGGTAGCTCCTAAATCACCTCAGCAAAGTCTTGAATAGGTGAGTGATCAATCTGATCTTGATTTACCTATTGCTCTTAGAAAACAACCTCGCTCTTATGCTTTACACCCAATACAGAAGCACATATCCAACAAGCCTCTTTCTCCAAGTTATCATGCTTTTGTCACTAATTTAGATAAAGTTGTAGTTCCCAACAATATCAAAGAGGCATTGGAAATACCAGAATGGAGAAATGCAGTTATGGAGGAAATGAAAGCCCTAAAGAAGAATGGAACATGGGAGATTGTTCAGAGGCCAAGTAGCAAGAAGCTTGTAAGCTGCAAGTAAATTTTCACCCCAAAGTACAAGGCCGATGGTACTCTTCACAAGTTAAAAGCACGCTTGGTAGCAAGAGGGTTTGCCCAGACGTACAGTATTGACTACAAAGAGACTTTTGCACCAGTGGCAAAATTAAACACTGTTAGAGTTCTCTTATCCGTGGCAGCTAATCTAGAATGGCCACTTCATCAGCTTAACATCAAAAATGCTTTCCTAAATAGAGAACTAAAAGAAGAAGTTTACATGACTCTACCACCAGGATTTGATAGAAGCAGAGCTGATCAAGTATGCAGGTTGAAGAAACCTCTATATGGCCTAAAGCAGTCTCTTAGGGCATGGATTGACAGATTCTCAAAAGTTCTCAAGCGAGAAGGCTATAAGCAGGGATTGTCAGACCATACAATGTTTGTTAAAGTTAAGGGAGGTAAGAGGTGTATCTTTATTGTATATGTTGATCACATTATTCTTACCGGAGATTATCTTGAGTAAATCACAAGAGTAAAGGTTGTTCTGGGCAAAGAATTCGAGGTAAAAGACCTTGGTGCCTTGAAATACTTCCTTGGGATGGAAGTTGTGAGGTCAAGGAAAGGTATTTATATATCTCAGAGGAAGTATATACTTGATCTTCTAAAGGAAACAGGTATGTTAGGTTGTAGGCCAGCTAAAACCCCTATTGTGGTTCTGAAGAAAAAGAAGCCTAAGAAGAATAAGGAAGAGTCAAAAGAAGAAGATGATTCTCATGATGAAGTTGAAGAAAACAATAAGAATGAAGAGGCCACTAATAAAAAAAAGATATTAGAGGCTTGTTGGGAAGTTGATTTACCTTTCCCATGCAAGACCGGATATTGCTTTTGCAATAAGTATGGCTAGCCAATACATGTCTAAACCAAAGAAGCATATGGAAGCAGTCTACAGGATCTTGAGATATTTAAAGGGTACTCCTGATAGAGGGTTATTCTTCCATAAACAAGAACAGAGAACCATAGAGGTCTACACAAATGCAGATTGGGGAGGAACTCATCCTGATAGGAGATCAACTTCTAGTTATTGTTCCTTTGTTTGGGGGAACATGGTTACCTGGAAGAGTCGAAAGCAAAGGGTTGTTTCTAAGAGCAATGCTGAGTCTGACTTAAGAGCCTTGGCTCAAGGAATAATAGAAGAGTTATGGTTGAAACGAATCCTAGAAGAGATACATGACGAAGTGGACTCACCATTAATACTTAATTCATTGTGACAATAAGGCAACTATAAGCATAGCTTTAAATCCTGTTTAACATGAAAAATCAAAACATGTGGAAGTGGATAGACATTTCATCAAACAAAAAGTGGAAGATGGAATCATATGTTTGATTTATTTACCTACAAACCTTCAAGCTACAAATATTCTAACTAAGGGATTACATAAGCCCACATTTGAAAGTTGCATAAGCAAGTTGGACATGATTAATATCTATGATCCAACTTGAAGGGCGAGTGTAGAGATATTGTATTTATCGTAAATATTCTTATTTGATTATTAGGAGTTAATAGGATATATTAGAATTATTAGTATTTATTAGCTATTTATTCACTTGTTTCCTAGCTTTGTGTATATATAGTCTCCTGTATCCTACTATTATGATCAATGGAAAATCATATTTCTCCTCTCAAAAATCCCACACAAACACATAATATGAGAAACATAAGAATTGTATATAAAAGAGTAAAACCAGAATCACGCATCAAAAGCTTTTACACATCAGGTTTCAAACTCTGGCCAGTTCACTTGGGCAACATTATCAGTAAGCATCAAACTTATGACAACATTATAAAGGCAAGGATTCTATGAAATTTAGTGCTTCAAAGTTTGCATATTTGGTTCCCAAAGGATAGAAAGAACAGTAGCATACATACCAGATTTTCATCTCTTAAGGGAAAACATGAGTGCAGAGCTATCATCCCCATCATTTTCCAAGTTAACTCTCAGAACAAAAGAGCGTATATTTGAGTTAATAGAGACACCAAATATAGAAGGTACACCAGAAACCATGTTACACAGGTAAGGGGCCTCCAAAATTTCACATTGATTCTTTGAATGCAATGAGCCCAAATGAGTAACCAATTCTCTGACTGCACCGTGCATTGATGGAGAGAGGTATGCTTTTAGTAATTCAATGATTATAAAAACCTAAAAAAAAAAAATTGGAAATTAATAGAGAAAAAGAAAAAAGTAAGAAAAACTAAAGCTATTCCACTAGCAGAATTGAGTTCATTTGAAACACATTCATCACCTCCAACTGTTTCAAAATGGATTCATCAGGGATCATACAAGATGATAAGAAAACAGAAACATTAAATTGCTCGAGCAAAGAAACCTTCTGTGACTGATCAGAATTCATCATTGTAACCTGCAGCACAGCAGATTGTTGATTGAATACCAAACACACAGAGAAAATATAAAAAATATTACTGGTATTAAGAGCCTGACCTCAAAGTCATTTAGTTTGACCTCAAAGTACTCATATAGGTCTTCAACCTGTATTCCCAGACATTTACTCGATGTAAATACTGAATTTAACAAGCTCTTCGATGAGCAGTTATCTTCCCCAACTTTTGAGGAGAAAGACTCGAGATTATTCATGGACATAAAACATATAGATCTTGATTTCATTACCTGCAAATATATTTACAGGAATATGAAGCTAACCAGGAAAAAATATATTCATAACTGCCAAATTCTACAGATAATAATGACAAATCTAGCATTACAAAATGCTTTGTACAAAGTGCCATTTTCAAGTACTCCTGAGCTTCTTCAAATGACAAGACTGCCACCATGGATGGCTTGGCCAGCTGAAGACACATCACCGGCTTTTTTTTTTTTTTTCACATGCTTGCTAAGATTCAAGGCTCAAAGAAAGAGAGCAAGGCCCTGATGGCACGTAATAAATTAAAATAGGAAATACTACCTTATTTATAGAGTGCAGAGAGAGAAGTACTTCTTGCTAACACTAGAAGAACGTAAAAAAAGCCCAACCCTAAAAGTCCATATGTTTTTAAAAAATTGTATAAGAAAAAAACTGCAATCATAAACATCATAACACAAAAAACAAGGTCAATTTACCCCAATCTCCAATTATATAGCATATCTGCATCATGTCACTATTATTGGCTGTTTCGAGCACCTCGAATCACACAAATGAAATCTCTAGAGGGCTATTTGATTTCCGAATTGGTTTCTCAATAAATGATACCTCTGAAGAATGAATAGAAGTTTTTCCACAAAGAAGGAAATAAAAGTAGGAGATGGAAGAATTCTGCCAGAAGAATTCGGATGAGTGAAGAGGAATAAAGAGACCATAACACATAACATAACTCAACTCCTTGAACAACAACAACAACAAGCCTTTATCCCACTAGGTGGGGTCGGCTACATGGATTGCAAGACGCCATTGTGCTCTATCAACTCAACTCCTTGAACAAATAAACCAAAATCCAGCCTGCCAGGTCCTTAACCATGAAAAACATCACTAAGAAATCCCACACCATTCAGACAAGAGCTGCTTAGGCAATGTCATCATCTAGAAGTTCTTTGTGGAGAATGACACAACAACTTAAGTTCTCGACAATATAATAAATACGATAGTCATCAAACAATGATTCATACATAATATTCAGTCAATACTCTGGAGAAATTAACCAGTTACCAAGTTGCAATAATCAGATGCTGAATTTCTCCAAGGAAAATTAATCACTACATCTGAAACAGAAATATCCCACACAACTTTCTTATGGCTTGCCAAAATAGATCTGCAAGGAAAACGAAAGCCAAAATAATCAAAAAAACAAAAAAACCAGAGGGTTGTCAAATGAAAAGAGGCATCTTGAGTTGCAAAGTGCAGCTTACTTTGCTTTTAATAACAGCCTAGTGTTCTGATCTTGAATTCCATTCAGTGACAAGAGAATCTGCAATTAGAAAGAAAAAATAAACACAAAACACCTTCTATGAAGGTAGTGGTGGTGGTGATATAGATTAAGTTAACTTCCTTCTTAGGTGAGATCGATTGATTGACATGTGGTCAACCATCTCCAATTCCTATATAGGTTAACTTGCACTACATTTGAATAAAATACAAGCTTTCACAGCTTACATAGCCTCCAAAATTTAAAGTCTCTTTCAATCATCTATGTCACAAATAAGAGACAAACAAAAGAAGCATTTCCACCAGAGAATTGAGCTAATGAAACAACTTTCACAATCTGCAACCCTCAATCAAGGACAAATCTCCAACTTGGGAAGAACAAAGACAAAAGCCCAAATCTCTTGCATCTCGACAATCATCATTTCCAGGTAACATTATTACAATAAATATAGTGACTTTTCACTATAAGCTTAACAAATCCATAATCCCATAGTCCATCACTGGCAATATAAAACTGCAAAAAAACCACCGTATTTGATCTTTAAACAGTGGTGAAACTGTAAAGCAATGTCAATTTGAAACATAGTATTGAATAAACTTTTTCCAACAAACATTAGAGGGAAAATTCCACTCTGGGTCCTTATACTTCAATCATTTTTTGTTTTTAGTCCTTGTAATTTATTTTCGGTGTACCTCATCACTTCTATTACATCTATTTGCAACATTAGTCCTTCTAGTTTGGAAAATGCCCATAAGGACCATAAGCTGGCCCAAACAATGTTTGTTTTGCTGACATGGACTTAACATAGTTCACAATTCGAAGTTCATATTTCAACTGGCCCAAATTGCTTTTTCCAAATCATAACATAATTTAACAGTGTTAAGTCCATGTTAGCAAAATAAATATCTTTTAGGCCAGCCCATGGTCCTTATGAGCATTTTTAAAACTAAAAAGACAAACATTGCAGACAGATCAAATAGAAGGAAAGGGGAACAACAAAAATAAACTATAGGATTAAAAACAAAACACAATCAAAGTATAGGGACCTGGGTCGGTAAATTTTTCCAGCACTAAAATATAAGAATTTGAAACAATAATGGCCAAAAAGGGAATGAATTATAGAACAACCTTTCATCTAAGCATTTAAAATCTCAAACAAAAAGCAATCATGCAGTGCTAGAAAGGGGAAAAGATGTGAATACAATAGAAGCATACCCTTTCATTCTGAAATTCGAATGTTGTACAGACATCATAAAACTCCATCAGAGTAGATAAAATTTGTGTATCAAATGTCACTTCAAGCTGTTGGAGCTTTCCCTGTAGCATATTTCACATTTTATGATATATGGTATAAAATTAACATGGTGTCTCAGTATTTAAAATGCACACCAACTCATCAAGGCAACTCACTAATTTGCATTTACTAGTTACAAAGGAGGAACACAATGACAATACCTTTACTAATAGTGCAACATCATGGTTAGATGTGAAATTAACTTGAATGATACATGAATGATCCACAATATCCAGTTTATTGTTTTCAACAATGGGCTGCAAATCAAGGAACATAGATCACCATCAGCAACCACAAAATGAAATTAAATGGTAAGAATAATAACAAAAATAACTAAATTCCATTCAGAGATTCCATTTTAAATCCATTCCTCATACAATACTTCTTTATAAAAAAATTCATTTAGTAGTGTCAAGGAGTTCCGCTAAAACAACAATAATAGAAAGGGAGTAGAAACAGAAAACAGAAGCATTAGCTAAGTAGAGTTCTCCAAACCATCGGCATATGGCATATTTTCCCATCCCTCACATAAGAATTCTTATGTCTATACCAACATGCATTAGTTCTAGTGGAAGGTGTTATAGCCACCAAAGCATAAGATCTCAGGTTCAACTTTGAAGTGTGTATAAATGCAAAAGATGCCTTTTGCAGAACTACCTTCATTTAGAACCAGCAATACGCAAACCTGACCTGTTGGGACTTGATATCAGATTCCATAAGGAAAAAAAGAATTTTTATTTCTGTAAGTGGGTAACTAAACTATTTGAACTGAAACAACGACCCAACATAAGAGCCAAAAAGGGTAGCACTGACATTGAGATAAGAAACTGTGTCAAATGACGAGATTTAGTTTCCTAGGTTAGAATCCAATTCAACGTCAAGAATATGCAAATTTAAATTGTCAAGAGTTTAGGTGTTATCTATGCAAATAGTCACATGTTTCAAAAATACAAACCTGTCTAGTTCGTAGAATAACTTTCTTCCTGTGCAGAAGAATCATCTCTGCTGACTTCAATTTAAAAATGATAGTTGCATGCTCTTTGTGAAGCTTAGTCTCAATGATACTGCCTTCCAGAATTACCCCAGTTGTTCCTTCACCATACCTCCAACAACAATGTCGGAAAATTAAGTAAATAACAAATTTAGCTATGAAGACAGCAAGAGTGTATTATTTCCCTCATTTTGAAAATATAAGCATAACTAGATTAAATAAAGGGAAAAAGGAGTTTAATGGCTTCTTACATGAAATGAGAATATACCCTCTCTATTGCTATGAGGATCATTATACTGCATGGGCATCTACAGGCAACAGTCTATATAGGAAGTGTCTTTCAATAATAGAACCACTGAATTAGAAGTATTGCTATGTTGATCGTGTAAACCAAATTTAAGAAAATCTAGATAGCAATAGCTAGGTAATCTAATAGTTACTAGCCTCTTTGTATGTGAAGCTTTGGTTGTACATTAATTTCATTTTATAGTAATATATAAGGAAGCAAACAATGTTGATTAACATGAATAGAATGGACTAATCATGGTGTTTATGGCATCTGCACTAGGCGCCCACCTCCGTTAACGGATGACTAAATGGAAGGGAATTTTTGCTCTTCCAAAAAAATAGTTTAGGGGGAAAAATGCCCCATTTATTAGTATAAAGTGCCCAATACTCCTACAAGAAAAGTATAGAAGTAAAAATGCACTTTAACCAATTAAAAATGAACTTTATTATAGAAAAACATCTAATCCATTAGGATTTTCTTTTTTTGGAAATAAACAGAAAGAGGCCAAAGCCCGAATGAAGACCATCAAGGTCTAAAGAAAGTAAGTGTCCACAATTATGAGGAGGCTCCGTCAAAACTATAGAATCCATGTCTATGTTATGAGCAAAATGAGCAATGCAATCAGCAAATCATGTATTAGCTTTTCTATATAAATGCTCATAAGTAACCCCTCAATCTTGCATCAAAGGATTCTTAATGTCTAGAACAATGTTGTAGCTCAAATGGTTGATGTCATGAATGGTCATGACTCATGATTCCTTGAATAACGTCCATAGAATATGTGCATAAATTAATCTTCCTAAAATCATGGTGAAATCCATTAGGATTTTGATGGAGATCTAAGCAAACATGAACCAACAAGGGTAAAGAACTATGCCACTCTGTGGTGCTCACTGTAAATCCATCTTGCAGCCTTCAAGGAAATACGCAATCCCTCTGTCTATTAATTTTATAGATCTAGCCTTATGTGTACTGGCATTGGATAATAGTGGTATCACAATATTTCCCCAGCTTTGACTTATTCTAGAAACTTTGGAAACCTCGAAAGAATCCGTTTGTCATTTGCTCAGCATTTCTACCTACAACACATATTTTGAGCTGGTGTTTTCTCTTTATCAAAAGTTAAAGCCCCATAAACCAAGAAGTTCATGTACGTGTCTAACTTTCTCAATGCTACACTTTCACCTTCTCTCTGAAACTTTTCCATCTATTCCGATTTTCACCTTTTTAATTGATAAGAGTTCAGCTCAATCTAAGCTTAGATCTGCACCCAAATGATGGACATCATGCTAAGCCAAAACTACGCTCAACCAAAGCAATAACTAAGCACATTACATCATTAACATAGGCATGAATGTCAGAATTTGCAAAATGAAAATGAGATATCTATAAAAAATCCCGTTTAGTTTATGATGCAGGTATCAAGATCAAAACAAAAATTAGTGTGCCTTAGAAACATCATGCAGAATCAAACATCTATCAGCTAGAAGTGAACAGAGAAATAGGCATAGTACTTGCTGCATAGAGTCACTGAAATTCGATGAATCGCAAACTTCATTTCACAGAGGCATAATTCAGTTTTTGCATTGACATCTCCATTGGATGAAACCAAAGGATGAAATTCAGTTGCCTCGTATATATCCTGCAAAGTGACAGAAGCAAGTGTCTTTAAATAATGCCATTGCCAATACAAAGAGCAAATTAACATGAACATCCATAAGATTTAACCAAAAAAAAATGAGTAATATCATTTTCATCGCTAGAGGATTGCCATAATAAAGGTTTCACTAACACTTGTTAAAGCTCTAAAAGGACTAGATGCAATGATCCATATCAAACAACTTGAAAACATAATAACCCAAGCAAACCAATCAACAAATGTTAGGAGCCAGGGCACACTAATTAATTGCTCGAGGCAAAAGAATTTAGTATCCGTTTGTTCAATGAATCAAGAATGATACATATTAGCATCGAGTTTCATTGTACTAATTTTTGTTCTACCCACTGTACTACTCTTTATTTATCCTTTTTAAATAAGGTAAAATGCAAAATGAAAGGAAGCACACGCACTTTACACCTTCCATCCAAACAGCCACATCCTCTGAAAATTACTAGTCTAGCATTTTGTCCTCTTCTCTTACTGGTTCTTGTGGTAACATTATTGTAATTAAAGTAAATATTCTTAACTGGAAGTAGTCGAAGGGATAAAATATTTATTAGGATCAGGTATTAGGCTGATTCTGCAGCAGACTTTAGGAATCCAATTGCTTCAATCTACAATAGCCGTATATATATTAGTATCTTGTACATACCATTAAGAAAAATAAGAATCGGCATCCTCTAACCCCAGTTCTCCATGCTTCTTTGCAAATCATTGTTTTGTTCTATCGCCACATCAACGCATTTACCTAGTTATCTACATTGGATGACAATATCATTATGGGCAATGATCATGAATGTATTATTCAACTTGAAAAACATCAATTCAATTATTTTCAGACTATGAATCAGAGAAATCATAATATTTACTAGGTATTGAGGTGGCCTCTAGCACCAAGTTTCCTCTATTACAAAAGAAATATACTTCGGACACATTATATGAAAAGGTATGGTGGATTGCAAACAAGCCATTACTCCAATTGATCAAATGTCAAACTCTTGTCAGGGCAAGGAGAGCCCCTTACCAATCCTAGTAAAAACCAGGACTTGTTGGATAACTTATTGTGGTTCAAACGCTGTATATTATTCACCAAGTCGAGAAAATATATATACAGACCTAGGAATTAATAGAATCCGACATAAAAAACAATAATCCCAATATCTTTGACTATTCTACCCAATATTCTTTGATAAATGATACTAAATATTTACAATAATTACAATTCTATCCACACTCCCCCTCAAGTTGGATCATAGATGTTAGTCATATCCAACTTACTTATGCAGTTCTTAAAGGCTGGCCCATGAAGTCCTTTTGTCAAAACATCTGCAACCTAAAGGGTGGTTGGCAAATATATGAGGCAGACGGTTCCCTCTTCCATTTTTTCTCTTATAAAGTGTCTATCTATCTCCATATGCTTGGATCTTTCATGCTGTACCAGATTCAAAGCCATATTGATGGCAGCTTTGTTGTCACAATAAAGCTTTAGTAAGGCTTCCTGATAGAAAATATGGCAAATGTTATTTTAGAAAGAAATAATTGTTTTTGCATTATTTAGTATTTTGTAAGTTTCCTTCTAAAGGAAGGAAACCTGACCTGCTTTTGTTTGTTCTACTCTTTATTTAAATCTGCAAGTTGAGCTTTCCTTATAGGGAAGGAAACCTCAAACTTATATTTTATTTCATTTTATGTTTCCTTCATAAGAAGGAAACCTTAATTGTGGCTTCTATAAAAAGCCACCATGCAGCACATGTAAGAGGTGCTAAGAGTTGGAATGAATTGCTGTTCTATTCCCCTATCTATCAGTTCTGCGTCCCTCTCCACTTCCCCTGCTTTCTCTGTTTTCTGTCATCTCTCCCCTCTGTTTTTCCCTCCCCCTTCACCTCTCACTCTCTGATTCTGTTTCTTTTCCTCATCCTATTCTGTTCAAATCAATGTGAGTGTGTGTGTTTTACATCAACTTGGTACCAGAGCCTGGTTCTGAACGTTCCTAGGCTGTTTCCGCGGCCGGAGATCGAAGGAAAACTCTCAGGGGAGCTCAGCATACTCTGTTCACGCTGCCAGCACCCAGAATCACATTTCCCGACGTCAGATCCAAAAACGGACGCTACCATCGTGCTCAGAAGGGAAAATCCGATCAGAACCAAAAAGACCACCTCCGCCGAAGTCACACGCGCCGTCACGCGCCGGTGGAGCTTCTGCGCGTGGTCTTCACTCTCCTCACGCGCCGCCACACGCGCCGTCCGTACAGTCGCCGCCAAAACGTGATTTCAGTGTTTTCTGTGTGTTTTCGCGGAATTTGTTCAACTTTGAAGGAGCTGAGGGGCGCAAGTCATCATCTAAAACTTATTTGGGGGTAAAACTTTGTTTTGAGCTCCTAAAGCAACGCTGGTAAGGCCGACGACCCTTTCATTTAACTGGCTTACTTGGTTCTTAAAGGGAGGTGTTTCATTCATAGCTAGTTCTGAAATCTTTGTTGTGTGGTACTTTGGTTTCTTTGAGCATTGCAATTTTTATTTTATTTTTATTTTTTTTAATCATGTTTTAATATTTTGAAAATATATAAATATATATAAAAAAAAAGGAAAATTTACATTGATCATTATGTTGTTAATTTGTGACTTTTGATAGCAGTGTTCATATAACCTAAGACACCTACCTCACACACAATCCTGCCCTATACTCGTGTCCAAAAATTACCCTAGATTAATTGAAGTTTCTAACGGTTTTCCTGAAAGGTTTTTGAACCTTCGGAAATTTCTGTGAAGACTTCACTCGAGTTGTTACCTATTTAGCATACGATCCCTGTGGAATTTTTGAATTCTCAGAGGGTTAGTGTTGTTAAAGAAGGGACTTCACCTATTTAGGTAAGGGCAACTTGGGGGCCTTTCTTCCTTAGGTTATTAAATCCACACCAAACTTGCACTTTACCATACCATCTTTGTCATTGTATGACCATTCGTGATTTATACGATAAGCAAGCTTTATTAGACCAAGAAATTACTGCCCTAAAATCTGTCATGGCTAATAACTCCCAAATCACCCAAAATCATCTTGAGGAATCTGAAAGGACTCAAAGGGCATATGTGGACCAGCGGCTAGATGAAATTAAAGAATTCATGGACAATAAATTTAAAGAGATAATGGGTGCAATTCAGTTGACATACAGACAAGATACAGGGAAAACAACTGAAGGGATACTCGAAAGACCTATCATTAGAGGAGAGTCAAGTCTTAAAAATGAACAAATCCCAGTCCACAATCAACTTAGAGGTAATTCCCTTAGGATTGGTCATTCCTCTAGAGCTATGGGTGAAAGACACAGTAGAACATTTCCTCATGAGTTTACCAATCATCATTCTGATGACATAGATGATACTTGGGATGGGCAAGGGCCTGAAGAACAACATCATAGACCATACCAGTTAGTCCATAGGAATGGTAGAGAAGGCTTTAGAAGGACACATATTGATGACATCACCAAAAAGGTTAAAGTTGAAGCTCCTGAGTTTGATGGACGATTGAATCCTAGTGCATTCCTGGATTGGTTAGCTAGCATGGAAGACTATTTTGAATGGTATGACATGAGAGATATTCAGCGAGTTCGGTTTACGAAGATGAAGCTCATGGGATCTGCTAGGAAATATTGGCAAAATGTCCAAAGGAACATTGAGCGACAAGGTTATCCACCGATTGAGACATGGGATGAAATGAAGGCCAAGCTGAAAGAAAAATATGTGCCGACTCATTATAAGAGTCAACTGTATGACAAATACCTTAATTTGAGGCAAATCTCCACAGCTTCCGAGTATATTTCTCAATTTGATGACCTTATGATTAGATGTGACGTGGATGAAGAGGAATGGCGCATCATTACCAAGTTTGTTAATGGTCTCAAGCCATATCTACAGAAGGAGCTCAAGTTAAACTTTCCAGAGTCTCTTGAAGAAGCTTATCATAAGACTTTAGAAGTAGAGTCTCTGTCACAGTACTCGTCTGCAAAGCGTATCGACATGCAGAGCAATCTGTTTAGACAAGCACGAACTTCCAGTATGTCTGAACGACCAACAGGAACACTTACATCTAGGCCTAGCTCGTCTTTTACACCTACTCAAGCAATTGGGTTAAGGGGTAATACTTCTAAGCAGCCTAGTGAGGCTATAGTTCCTGCTTCCCGCCATAACAATTCCTTTGTCGAGTGTTTTCGCTGTCACTCAAAGGGTCATATTGCGTCAAAATGCCCACAGCGTACTCTAGTTATTGACTCACAATATGAAGGTGAGGAAGACAATGCAAATGCTGACGTTGTCGTAGATCCAGTTGAGTGTCCTTCAGATGTCGATGAGGACATCATCATTGATGAACATGGGTGTGAGACACGTCGAGTTGGAGTTATGCGATGCATTCTATCTGTCCCTCTGCCTAGTGATTCGTGGAAGCGAACAAGTATTTTCCATACTTTTGTGAAGTGTGGAGATAAAGCTTGCAAATTGGTGATTGATGGAGGGAGTTCTAGAAACGTTATTTCTAGTCAAGGAGTAGCCCGACTCAATCTCAAGACAGAACCTCACCCAGAACCTTTTCGTGTTGCATGGGTCGACAAAACTTCTTTACCAGTCACGCAACAATGTCGCGTTCCTCTTCACTTAGGTGACTATAAAGAAGAGATTATTTGTGATGTTCTTCCAATGGATGTTGCTCACATTTTACTTGGCCGACCGTGGCTTTATGACCACAATGTTATCAATCATGGTCGTGAGAATACCTATACATTTAAGCATGGAGGCAAGACGATCCTGTTACGTCCTGCTAAGCCTGACAACGAAGGCAAAGGCTCAAGTAAATCAAAGGGCACAAAACCCAAAACCCACAATTTGCATCTTCTGACAGAAAAACAATTTGTACAAGAAAGCAGAGAGAGTACGATCGTGTTTATTTTGGTATCCAAGATCTCGCAACGAATTGCTACTACTTCAAAAATG